TCCAGCAGGTTCGGAGCAGACTTCAGACTGCACAGAGTCGGCAGAAAAGCTACGCCAAATAGACGTCGATCCGACTTGGAGTTCCAAGTCGGGGATATGGTCCTCCTAAAAGTGTCGCCTTGGAAAGGTGTCATTCGATTCAGGAAGCGGGGCAAGTTGGGCCCAAGGTTCATCGGGCCGTTCAGGGTTGCAGCCCGGGTGGGCAAGGTGGCGTATAGGCTGGATCTGCCAGCCGAGCTCAGTCAGATCCACAACACCTTCCATGTTTCGCAGCTGCGGAAGTGCCTGGTGGACGATCCAGCAGTAGTACCGTTGGAGGATATTCAGGTTGATGACAACTTGAATTACATTGAGCGCCCAGTCGCAATACTTGACAGAAAGACCAAGACGTTGAGAAACAAGAGGGTAGAGCTAGTAAAGGTGCAATGGCAGCACCGCAAGGGTTCGGAATGGACTTGGGAACCGATGGACGAGATGATGGAGCATTACCCCGAGCTGTTTCAGGACCGGGCAGCAGACTTCGAGGACGAAGTCTAAAATAAGTGGGGGAGATTTGTAGCACCTGGTTTCCGGTATGTGAATTTTATTTAAGCATTGCCCTATTTTAGCCTTGGACTCGGCGAGTCATAAGGTCCGACTCGCCGAGTAGGGACGAAACTCAGGACACGTTTAAGTGGGCGACTCGGCGAGTCCATATCCTGGACTCGGCGAGTCACCGCTGCTGGATGAAACCCTAAGTTTCAAGGGTTTGCACCCTATTTAAACCCTCATTCCGCCCCAACTCGTCCCCATTCACCCCCAGAACTCCCCCAACATCGTTTTCCCTTATTTCCTTAAGAGGTTGAAGTGTTCTTGGTGTGTTCTTGAAGGTTTTGAGGAGAAAGAGGAGTAGATCAAGAAGAGGAGAAGGAGATCAGTCATCCTTGTGTCATTTCAACATTTTCCTTGAGGTATATCTTGTTTTCCCCTGTTTCTATGCTTAGGATTTCATTTGGGACACTCTTGAGCAATTCTTCAAGCTTGTTTGTGCTTAATGTTTCGTAATAAGTGGATTAACCTTTAGATCTAGGCAAGATTGAGCTCCAGGAGCTCAGATCTGTGAGCTTTATGGCCCCATGTGGCTTGTTCATCCTAGATCTACCCTTTTGAGGCATTTTGCACCCTAAAATCCACATTAGTGAATATCCACACGTAAAGTTGGAAACTTTACGTGTGATTTGGGTCCTAGAAGTCCAGATCTATGAATGGCATGGACTGAAATCGAGTAAATCTGTGTATTTGGTGGATGCATGGAGACGACTCGGCGAGTCGTATAGGTGACTCGGTGAGTCCGGTCGCGAGTCACCGATTTGGTCCCTTCATGATGTGTTGAGTTGAGCCGTGAGTCACAGGGGGTGACTCGGTGAGTTGGGAGCTGAACTCACCCATGTTAGGACTCGGCGAGTCAATGCCCTGACTCGGCGAGTCCAAGGCAATCTTCATAGATCAAGAACAGACTCGGTGAGTTGTTCATACAACTCGGCGAGTCTTAGCATAAAGTGTTCTTCGGATGAAGACGAACTCGACGAGTTGTTCATACAACTCGGCGAGTAGGATGAAGGAGTTGAATGACAGTTAGAAGGTGAACTCGTCGAGTCATAGCCCGACTCGACGAGTAGAACCAGGGATCCAGGACAATGGTTTGCTAGGGACTCGGCGAGTGGTGATCCACTCGGCGAGTCGGGTCAACTGAAAATTTACTCTAGCATTGGCTTAGAGCTAGACCAGGGGTAAAATGGTCATTGTACCTAAATGACAGTTAGCAGTGTTTGATTGAGTATGTTGTGGGAATTGCAGCCGGAGGACTCCCGGAGCAGCAGCAGTCAGTTAGTTCCCGATCAGTTCAGCAGCTACTTTGAGGTGAGTTACCCTCCAGTAGTGGTGGGTCTAAGGCCACAATGACGACCTCCACCTTCGAACGTTTCCGCCGTTCCGGTGTAGGGGTGTGATAAAAGTCAATGTAGCACCCCGTTTATTAAATAAATTTATAAATAAATAAATTAATTAATGTATAGTAGCCCTGAAATCAATAATTATATAGTTATGGGCTTAGAAACCTAATCCAACAAACATAATGTGTTCTTGATCCATTAAGATGTCATTTCAGACCTTTTGAAGGGTCTTAAGTCATAAAAATGGGGTCTAAATGGTTGGTTTTGCTCCGTGCATTCTTTATAAGGTCTTAATGGATTAAGAAGTTGAGTTAAGCACTTAATGGATATGTAAAGTCATAAAGTTGGAAACTTATGACTCTTGAGGGTATTTTAGCCTTGGATTTGAAAGATGGATGTGAGAGCTTAAGCCATTAAGCTCCAAATGAGAGTTTGGGAAATCTGGGAGTACGCCCCACGTACTTGGAGTACGCATCGTGTACGAGGTCAACCACCCCGATGATAGTCAACGCTCGAGTACGCCCCGCGTACGCTCACTGTGTTGACTTGGCCGAGTTAACTCGACTGGGTTGACTTGACTAATTTGACTTTAAGCTAAGGTTATTTTGGGTATTTTAGGATTGTGATTGATGATTGGTCATTTGGTCGGATAGGGGAAGGTTAGAGATGAGATTCGGAGTCGATACCTCATCAACTTTTTTTCTAGACTGTCAGGTGAGTTTTTCCTCAATGTACTCGCGGGTCGAAGGCACCAAGGTCGGCCCATTAGATTAGATATCCTGTTATGTGACAATTTGTTATCGTACTGTAATTATCTGTATCCTTGTATATAGGATGATGCTATGCTTAGTGATCTGTAGATCTTCCTGATTGTCTGTTGACTGATTATATGTTTATTTGTTATATGTGCATATATTTTGATTGGTGGTTAAGGCTTTACTGCCATGTACGTGGGCCAACAAACCATGGGCATTGCAACCCGATGGTTGATTAGTCCCGAGGGTATTCCATCCCGAGGATGACTTGACCTGTTGTATATTGACACTCTAACCCGTTGGTTGACTGGACCCATTGTATATTGGCATTCCACCTAGGGTATTCCATCTTGAGGATGACTGGACCTAGAGGGTGACTGGGTCTAGGGTATTCCAACCCGATGTTTGATTGGACCCGATATGTTGTTGTATATGTTATATGTTTATATACTGGTACTTTAACGGAAGTCACTAAGCTTTGACTTACGTTTTTTAGTTATTGTTTCAGGTACTTCTGATGATCGCAGTAAGACGAAAGCATAACCATACACATCCTTTGTTTTATGTACTTTTGATCTTTGGGAGACTTTGATATGGAACAATACTTTGAAAATAATTATTTTGTAAACATTCTATGATATGGGATTGTTTTTAAAAAGTTTAAATTTGTTGTGATTTTATGGATGTTACAATTAAAGAATGAAAAAACAAAAAATGGTTAATAAATTGAGGACAAGTGGTAACTTTCTGCAAAAATCTAACACATATTTTTTATATATACTCATTATCAATCATAGAAATCTAGATGTCAAGATCTTCTAAATAATTGAAAAAATAACTCATCAAATAAATCAAAAAATGAATACAAATGCTAAATTCAGTTTGTATGGAATATTGATAGAATGTTATTGTAGTTCGGATGTCCATATGTTAGTCGAGAATATATGTTCCCCATCTAAAACGTACAATGTCAAATTTCGGGATACCTTTACGTTACATCTAACCAACCATCCACCGACTTTGATATGAACATAACTAGTCCAAAATGTGGTATTCTAGAGAAAATTTTCATTCTTTAAAAGCCAAATAAAATGTTTATGAAGTCGTGTATAATTGTTAGTTAATTAATATCCTTTTTTATCGTGATATTAATTAAACTAACCCTCAAAATGGAGGCTTTTAACAAAAATAATTAGTTTTTGCGGTTAGTAATCCGTAGAAACCATGGTTTTAAAAAGTGCGTCATGGCATGCAATGATACGAGACATGATGTAGCCGTTACGAAACGTCAAAGACGTGTTTGTTAAGTATGACACCCAAATAATGTGTTAATGCGCGTCTTATCGCGTTATGACGTGAGTCTTTTTTAAGTCGCTAGTTTTTTTGTTTTTTTTTTTTTTTTTCTGATCGAGTATAAAATAATTGAATTTTTGTTGAATTTTTTTATATTAAATATTAATATAACAATTCTAAAAACGTGATATATTGAGAAAAATTCAAAAATTATATGATTTATTTTTTTCAATGTATATAAAATAGTCACGCAAAAACGTAATGACTCGTCATGACTTAACTTTGATATTACCGTCAAGACACACCTCAAATTATTTTAAGTGTTGATAAAAATACGTAGACAAATAAAGAAACAAAACCAACACGTACAATATTCAATATCATCACATGACAATTTGTGATCGCATGACAATTTGTGATATTTCTGCGTCATTGTGTGCATCCTAGAATTGCATCAAGTAGATGCAGTGCATCATCAGTGGTGGTCATTTAGCTCATTAATTTTTTTATTTTATTTTTATAAATTATTATGTAAAATATTAGTTATGAACTATCTTAAATATTTTAAATAAACCACCTTTGTATTTTTAATAAAAACAAATATGTATAAATCACGAGTTTCGAAGCCTATCTTCCACTTTTTTTTATTGATTTATTTTAAACAGTGAATAGATAGTATCGTTCTAAACCCGTAGATGCCCATAATACATTAAGTCCGAAACAGGTTTTAGAAGGGGACCGCAGTTTTGTTGAAAAGGGGTATTATAGGCCAAATATATGGAGTAAATAACGGGCTTTAAAGATTAAGGCCCAATGCCTGAGATTCGAAGAACTTGCATATCTTAACAGTCGGTAATCGGTAGTTATCTTGTCATTGTCTCCCTCCAGTCATCCCCAATCCCCCTGATGATCTTAACTTTTTAGTTACGTGATCGACGAAAGGGAAACTACACGCATTCTTACGAAACTTCAATAACAGTTTTTCCAGTCAGTTGAATTGTAGATGAATTTCTTCAAATCTATGTTATCTGGCGACACCGAGCCGGAAAATATGGATGGTTCCGTGAATTCCGAGACTGATCTTCGGCAAAATCAATCTCCAAAGCATGAAGGAAGTGAAAGAGCTGAAGAAAAGCATTTAAATTCAAATTCTTCTTCATCCGGGGAGTTTGACAGCGGCAGCGGTGGTTTATGGAGCTTTGGTGATCTGGTGAAGAATTTAACAACCAGATCGGAATCAGTACTTGAGACATACCGTCGCGATCTGAAGGAATTCGGTTCAGGGTTGAGGAAAGAATCCGATTTGTTCCGTGAAGTCGCGAGTCGAGCAGTGAAGGAGCTACCGTCTTCGATCGAGGTCGGCACATCGGCGATCGATGGAGTGTTGAAGTCGACTGCGGATATCATCTCACAAGGTAAAGACGCTCTTCTTGAACCTTCCGATGTTGATGATTCTGATGTCTCGGAAGCAGGACAGAATTACAGTGATCGTAGTGGTTTAAATTCGAAAGTGTACAGTCGTTTCGATTCTCAACTTAATGCGATTCAAAGTGATGCTCGAACTTATTGCAAAGATCCTGAGGATTTAGATGATTATAATAAGTGGAAACTAGGGTTTGTGTTGAGCGACAGGGAAAGCGAGATTGAGAAACTGATGGGAGATAATGGATCTGTAGAAGCAATTTACAGGAAAGTTGTTCCGAATGAGGTTGATGATGGAAGCTTTTGGTGTAGGTATTTCTATAGAGTTCAAAAGCTTAAACAGCAGGAGGACGTGAGAGCTAATCTGGTAAGGAGATCTCTAACAGTCGATGATGAAGAAGATTTGAGTTGGGATGTTGATGAAGAAGAAGAGGAAGAAGCTGTATTGCCTGAAATTGAAAAGAAACAGAGTTCTAATAATGAATCTATAACTGTGAGTTCTAATGTTGCTGAATCAGTGCAAAATCCAGATGAAGATGGTGTTGATGAATCTAAAAATAAAAGTTCTGATGTTGTCAATGAGGATGAGGAGAAGAAGACCATTGTTGCTGATGTTAGCAAAAACAGTGAGGAGCCAAAACAGAGTGGTGAACATGTGTCTGATGTGAAAGTTAGTCAAAATCTTAATGCTGGTAAATATGACGATGTAACTGAGGAAGATCTCGAGTGGGATGAGATTGGGGATGTTGGAGACAACGATGAAAAGGAAATCTTGCAAGGCAACACCCCTAAGAAAGCTGATGTGTTTAAGCAGTTGAATAGTAATAGTGGTGAAAACGATGAGGACTTGAATTGGGATATAGAAGACGATGATGAACCACCTGTGAAAGCCGGTAATAGTAAGTAGTTTTTCGTTGCACCTAAGGTGTTTTGCATTGCGATTTGTGTGTTGTGGGTTACTAACATCAGATCTGTTTGTTATTGTATTTACGCTTTTTGTCTTGTTGTCGTTTTAAAAAGCATTCTGTTTCTATGCCATGTGTCATAGTTTTGATCCTAAAATCTTCACTTTTAAAGACTAATAATAATTCACAATTTTTAAATTACACTTTTACTAGTAAAACACTCTGGTGACATGGAAAGGAAAGTCTAATCACCACGGCCTTGTTGTAGACCAAGTGAAGCTGACCTGACTGACTGCATAAGCTAAATACTGGAAGTGGAGGTGGAATCTGGTGTGTGTGGTTGAGATGGGGCTGGCAGTGCGAGAACACTAGTTACACGGCCTCTTTGGACACGAGGAGGTAGATGTCTTGTTGGTTTTTGTGATCCGATGTTCCATGGTAAGAAAACCCCGGTGCCACTTCCACCACCATGAGGCCACCTTCTTAGGCTTAGAACCATTGGATTAACTGGGGCTAACATCACTAGTTGTGGTGCACTAAGGACATCCCATTTGGACTTGGAGTCGTAGCAGCCGTTAACGTTACCATTAGGTTGCCACATGGTGATGGAACTTGTTGCTGATCTGACGTTCTTTTCGTAGTATGAGTCTTCTGTCCGAACTTTGAAAAATGTGAGGCTGATTCTTTTAGTTGGAGATTGACACATGACATGTCGTGCCATGTCAGCACTGTTTCCCCTCATCAGTAAGAGCGACCTATGGAGTTGAATACAGAGGATTACAATGTTTTATTAGTGGTAATAATTAATAAAAGAAGTAAAAACAGTATGTGGGTTATTACCCTTGGTTGAGAGAAAGCATAAGTGGTCCTTTATAGTTTCCATCCTTATCACAAACAAGAGTTCTCCCAAAAGCCATTGTTGATTCGGATAGAACAAGGGTAGAGATCGGTTGATCAAGATGAGGTGGCTTCAAGAACGGCTGCGAAAACTCTCCCTATAGGAAAAACAAACTGGCTTTTACACAGTGAACTATATGTAATTACATATCACACATGTATATGTAAGATCTTTGATAGAAAGATTAGATCATATATAATACCTCGTCAAAAAAGTTTATGATGCAGCTGTTTGGTCGTCTGTTTTCGGGAATCAGATGGTACTTAATCAGGTGATCAATCACACCTTCAAGAGGATCTGGAATTGGCTCGATATGACCTGTACGCATACATGTATGTTACTAAACAGATTTAGGATTTGAATTTTGACATGCATGTTTTATCCAATTTTTAGCTAAACTTTTTTTGAAGCAATTACTTACTATCCTGGGATTTACTTGTAGCTTCGGCTTTTATCTGTCCAAATATGGGAGCTCCAAATTGAATAAGCTCTCTCTTGATGGCCTGTGACTGCTGGTTGTAAATGATAAACGTCTCACCTAATGAGACATTTATTAATATCAGAACTTGGGTTGGCAAAAGGAATGAACTAGTTTAGCTATAAAAGAATCTATAAAGCACAGGATCCCCTCACCCGAGAGTTGTCCATTTTTTCCAGCAACTCGGAGTTTATTCACATACTCATTTAACCGAGTTAACTCTGTATGGGTAAGTATGTTCTCATACAGCTTCAAACCTCTTACAACATTGACCTGTCAACCAACACAAGTCCGAAATTATTATGTGCATATATAGCAAATTGAAGTAATTAACAGGTATATATCAATTCTGTTGAATATAATTAAGATAATTAAAAAAAAAAAAAAAAAAAGAACTCGCCATATGTCCTTTTACAGACTCCTTGCTTACGAACCCTTTTGTCATCTTGATCTGAGCTCTCCAGACCTCCCAATCTTCTTGGTTTGAGCATATCTTTATGTTTTCTACTTCTACCAATGCCTCCTGCGCATCTTCAGATCCTGTACATAGTCCAAAGTTATATATAAGGAATTAGATTTAGTATATATGCACAATAAAAGATTAACAGCCAGACATAGCTTCTTCTTCTTCTTTTTTTTTTTTTTAAGGAATTCATATATGATTAATCCAACTTAAATATTGAAATTAAATTTTGTTAGACATTTTTCTTAAGTGAAATTAATAGATGTAATTTACATATAGCAGCACTTCCATTTCGATCAAAATGGATAAAAATTAATATGGGTTAGATACTGTTACACTTTTTACCTGTATTAAAACCTTTTGGATGCATACACAGCATAGCACTGAGCACTAGCACTAGCACCCTCCCCACTAACAAAGGTAAAAAAGCAACGAGTAATGCACTACTATACAGTTACACTAGGATTCCTTCATCCACTACAAGAATACGATAGAGGTTGGATGGAATTTCCAAGAATACTATTACCTACTCCTAAAAATCTAGTTTTTTTTTATCCTATTGATTAATCGATCGAAAAAAAGAGCGCGCGCGCGCGCGCACACATATATATATATATATATATATATATATATATATATATATATATATATATATATATATATATATATATATATATATATATATATATATAGGTGAGGTTCAATAGAGAACCATAATTAACCAAGGAACCAATCTTTTTCTCAACTTTTAGAAAAAAACTAAAAATACAGAAATTCATAACTTTTTATCAATTTTCCAATGATATCAAATTCGATTTTTTTTACGTCAAATGCACAATGTGAATCCGAAAAATATTTTTCACATTCACAATGTTAATATATGAATTTAGATATTTTTAGATTTTTTTCGATAAAGAATAAGCTCTAGAAATTGAAAAAAAAGATTTGATTCCTTGAAGAACCAATAATTATGGTTCTTTATTAAACTTTTTCATATATATATATATATATATATATATGAAAAAGTTCAATAGAGAACCATAATTATTGGTTCTTCAAGAAACCAAACCTTTTTTTTCAATTATATATATATATATATATATATATATATATATATATATATATATATATATATATATAACATTTAGATTTAACTTTCCCTTGAAGCACGTCTAATGCACTAAAATTATCATCATTTAAAACCATTCATATCAATGTAATTCAAAGTGGTCCTTATGTTGTATAATTTTATATGAATAAATATAAGTAATTAATTATATACTTATATATATAATAAAATTGACATGGCCTTGCAAAAAGAGTTGCAGTTGCAGGTAATGAAAGAGCATTGATGACTTGGCTGAAGTCATTTTGCATGAAGAATTGAATTAAAAGGCATTTGGTACTTTTGGGGTGGATGCTCTAAACTTCAAAAATCACCAAAAATAAACTTTAGAAATCCGTTTATTAAAAGCATCGTAACTGTGGACAGTTAATATTGAGGGAGTTGACTTTACCAATAGTAGTAGGATCATAATCCAACCACAAAATTTCAAAGGCTCCGCCCAACAAACAATTCACAGGTGGTGACTGGTGACATCCGTTATTACGGATCTCCTCCTGCAGCTCACACCAAACCATGTGCCACCAAATTATATTCCATTTTAATACATACACTCATCTTATCATAAAAAAATTCTTTTTTTTTCCTTTTCAAAAAGGTGTAATTATGAATTTATGATGATAAGAAGAATAGTTTACCAACTCATCATTTAATTAAAAAACTATTATAAATTCTTATAATACTTCTGATTGTTATAAACTTCAGTTTTGTTTTAGGACAATGTCTCTAAATACTTGGAAATTTCAAACTTTTGAAAAACGTTCAAACCTTGAGTTTTAATTTTGTTATGTTATTGAGAAAGGTTAATGTCATAAAACAACAAACCAACTAATTTTATTTTTACAAAAGTCCATTAATTTAAAAAGGCAATATTATAAAGTAAGTAATCAAATCGTTTTAGTCACAAAATATCATTAAAACAAAATGTAAAGTTTCATAATTTTAATAATAATAATAATAATAATGATGATGTTTTGTTGAAAAAAAATTGTTCAATTATTTATGGATACATTAATATGCTTAGAACTTTTTAACCAGAAAATTGGAAATAAAGCCGGCCTAGCCGATATGAGCAGGCAGGCAGCTATACCAATATCTAAACGCACTTTTTAAGTTTTTATTGAAATCGAACCTCGACAATCTCGCTTCAAAAAAAAGTCATTGGGAAGATGTCAAGTGTCAACAGATCTGAATTTTAGCTTTTACTGATTCTCGATATGTACAATGCAAATGCATGAGAGAAAAGAGACCAGATGATTCTGTTTATATATAGGAACTCACTCAATTCCAATTAATGGACACGAAGAAACCGTTCCTTTAAACATCCAGATCCCAATATTGAAAAACTAAAATTATTATGCAGAACATTGAAATTTGACGTCAACGTAATAGAACATGTAAAAAATAATGAGAAACGGAGAAAGAAATCTGGAAAAAATGGCAAGAGTTAAATGCAATTTGATAGAAAACAATATGTACTATGTAGTATGAGAGATCAGATGAGACAGATAATTTGTTGTCATGACTATACCAACAATAACAAGTATAATCGTTGTTACCTGTATCGGTTATTTTTATCTCATTTGTAGGTGAATTAAGTCTGGTAAAATCATCGTCAACAGCCTCAACACCTTGATTTCTATTTATATCGTTGAGATCCTCTTTTGGAATTTCATGATGCTGCACTTTCAGCGGCGAAGAAACATCGACTTCTTCTTCAATCTTCTGAACCCCTTTCGATTTCGTTTCGGCCACTTTCTGGAGCTCGAGAGTTACGTCAGCGATGGAAAAATACTTTTGCATCTGAAGAATAGGGATCCAATTAATCCGGCGGCGGTGTATAGCAGCGAATACTGACTCGTACTCGCACCTTCCGCCTTCTAACCGAGACAGATGGCCACACAACGCGTCAATAATTGCATTCGCCGCCGCGAACTCGCCTCGGAACCAGGAGATAATCGCGTCCTTGGCGAACGTCTCTGTTGGATGTACCGCCGGGGCTAGATCGGAAGCTGTAGAAACGCCGGCTGCCGGTGCCATGCTAGTCTCTTCTAACTAAAAAAATAGCTAAACGAAAACCTGTTTCCCGTTCGGGCCACTCGAAACAATGGCTTACGATGTTCAGTCAGTTATCGGGATTTCCCGTCGGCTGATAATTCGGAGTTTGAGAGAGAGAGAGAGAGAGAGAGAGAGAGAGAGAGAGAGAGAGAGTATGCATGTGCTTATTATAGAGTGATTGAAGACAGAAATGAAAAAAGGGGACTATATATAATATTGAAAGCGAGGGTTAGGTTTCTGAGGAGCGTATACTGTCATGTCCGTACGTGTGTCTTCACATATTGAGTTGTCAACTTTTCATTGGTTATTTTTGCTGAGGTGTTAATATATACAATATCAAAAGTTCGCAACAGTAAGTTGTTCACTAAAAAAATCATATTGGATGTATGATATTGTTTCTTTTCAATGGTTTAATTTGTTGTTTGCGAAAGAATATATAGATATTCAAAGGTACTCATCTAAGACTGCAAGGAGGGGCCTCGACAAGCCTACATGGCTTCCTCACCACCGGTCCATACTCACAAGCTGAGTTATTGCACCAAGCTTGTCTCGCTAAGCGCTTAGATGGGTGGGAGCGGGCAACGTGCACACCCAGTGGCGGAACTAATAATTTTAATATGGAAGCATAAACATTATCAATATATTATATATAGTTATTCGATATCGGACATTAAAAAACATGTTATACTTTATTTAGTTATGGATACAATAAAATGAAACATTTTTATAAATAATTTTTTTATATGTATAAAACAATATGCACACCTGTTTTTCCGACGTGGCATGCTAAACATGGCATTATAACGCTGGCTACACCATTTCGGGGTGGTGTTTTTAGGCGTTCGGGTAAACGACTGAAATTGGCTTGGGGAACGGTCACATTTTTGACCGTTTGCAAACAGTCACAAAAAATTTTAAAAAAAATCCCTATTTATATCTAATATAATTACACAATATTTATCGCAATTTTACCTACAAAACTCAACAATATCTTTCAAAATTTCACATTTCTTTCAATTTCATTTTCTTTTCTAATATTCTATTTAATTAAAAAATGAATCTTTTTGATCCATTCCATCTATACAATCATGATATCAACGAGGATGATATGTTCGTGGGTATTATGTACTGATATGCTACAAACATGCTACTGTCAGAGCCAACTCCACTACTGACCAAACGTGCAGTGTTGAACATAAATCGTGAAGAAGGGTATAGACATCTAGTACACAATTATTTTGCAGATAATTGTGTCTACCAACCTAGCGATTTTAAAATAAGGTTTTATTTGCGAAAAAATATGTTTCAACGAATAATCAATGCAATGGAAAGCAGATACCGTAATTACACTTTTTTACAAATTATATATATATATATATATATATATATATATATATTAAAGTTGTGCACCAAGATGAATAGTGAACTGACGAAGTTTTGACATAAAATGGTCCTTTCATTTTAGGTTTATTTGCAGTTTCGGCTTCATGGGCATTTTATGGAATTATATACATTCTTCTGGACACGTGTTTATCATCGTAGCATATCAGAGGCTTCTCGGTTCTTCTCAACCCCCATATCTCTCTTTTCTAATATTTGTTTCTTTTTGTTGCTTTCTGGATGGTTCCGGTCCACTACCCTAGATGGCGTCGTTGAACAGCGAAGCACCGCCCACCATCTCTAATACCGGTTCTGATTTTAGGACCAATCGGTAGAGTCAGTGGACAACCCTATAGCGGCGGCAACCACTGTTGGTTAGAATTCATCTTTGAACAAATACACCTCTTCGTTTCGGGGAAGCACTAGGGCTTGGTTCATCTTTCCCTGCAACAATCTTCGATTCTCCTACAAAGCGTGTTTCAGAATCGACGTCCCCCACAAGCCCTAAAGGTAACCCACCGATCCATTTTGCTCCTTTGACTACTATGTTGTTCAATTGCATGTCGATTTTTCTTCTTTTGTATCTTCTATTTCAGATGCCTACTCAATTCCCAACTTAGACGAGAAATGGTTTGCACCCTGGCGATGTCGGCTTGGAGGTATGTTTTCTATAATATGCTTTGTCTCTTCAGCTCCTTCAACCTGAACTAAAGAGAGGACCTAATCCGTATTTTAGTTCCACTTCATTCAACAAACGAAAATATCAGAATGTGGATGATGGTCATTCTGCTTCTACTTTTGCATCGATTAAGTCATTCTTTATTGCATCCAAGAGTAACACAGACTTAAGTGGGGATGATTCTAATCATCTGTTTCAGTTTACCCACGTATGCATTTACAGGGTACCATCAAATTTTTTTCTCTGACTTCTCGCGTTGCTTACACATTTAGGGTTTGTGGTGCTTAGATTTTGTTGGTAATTATGTCTATTTTCTTATAGGTTGTTCTACCAGCTTCCATCATCAGTAAATCTGGAAAAGGTGCTGTTGGGAGAAAGATGAAGACATAGATACGTAAAGTTTGTAAGCTTTTTGTTTGAAAGGATAATGTATGAGTTATATAAAGCAACAAATAGTCGTTTAAAGAGCATAGCACCAAAAGAAATAAAGGTACTAATGTATCTGCTTAATTTCACGGATCCAGAAGAATGATTTTTAGCTTTATCAACTGCATTTTCTCCTGGTAAAGATGATGAGGCTAAGGATCCCAATGTAATATACACGTAAATTGGCTCAGCATTTTATTTGTTTATTTATTAACTGTGAAATCGAATTTTCAATGCATATCAGTGTTTTTAATAAGGTTTTTTTTACTGCTGTAGAATTGTATACCTCGAGAAGTGAAAATTGTATTTAGCGATTGTGGTCCGTAGGCAAAAGGATGAGCTACTATTTGTCTGTGGACAAAATTCCTGTAAATGTAATTTTAACTATTATCCACACAACAATTTACACAAATAGTTTTTGTAGTTTTTTTTTTTAAATTTTAACTATTAGTCTTTTCTTTACAGATCAAAGTGTCAATATACAATTGGGATATGATTCTTAATTCATGTTGGAACTGAAAGGTATATTGTTTAGTATAACAACCCTTAAGTGGTTCTGAATCTTTGATGTACCTTCTATACAGCTTCAAAGTTGCCTCAAGTAAGTTTCTTTTTGTCTTAGCATCAGGACATGAGTTTTTTTTCACTGTTTTATGATGTTATCTTATGTTATAATGGTTTAATGTTATTGCAGGAGAACTTATGAAAGTAGAATATCCCTGTTGGGGCAGAGGTATGTACACGTGTTATTGTCATTTGGTAAATGACAGGTATACTTACTTTTTTGACCATAATACCCTTGTACTTTCGAATAAACAATAAAACTTCGGTAAGTTATGGCTAATAACCTTAAATTTCTCATGCAGACATCATCAACTTGATATGCATTGCAACCCTAACAAAAAAAAATCCAAACTTTTATATGAAATTCATGTCTGATTGTAATCTTAAATCCATACATACTTTGGATTGTGATGGTGGGTAGGTAGTGTTATGTTATTTAGTTAAAGTGAATGTTGGAAATTAATGTTGTTGTTGTTGATTTGTTGTTTGTGCTGCAGGGGTCCACCAATACTCCAGGTGGACGACAAATGACAGGTTGTACTGTTTCACACATTTACCAATTTATGCCATAATATTCCACTTTTTTCCGCTTTTCATAACATTACACTTTCAAATATTCACTAATTATGCATTATAGTATGCGAATTACATCCATTTATAGTATCAAATGCATTGGATTTCTTTTTTGAAGTTTTTTGCTTATGTGTTGTTATTTGAAAATTTGGTAATCGTTTGCCACATCATTATCATTTGGACTTCCACATAAGCAAAAAGCAAAAAAAAAAATGAAATGGTATCTTGTTTGGTAACCAGTTCTACGGGTTAAAATTGCAGGCTTACTGTAAGGATATAATCAAAAGCGGACACAATAACACTTTTAAAATAAGTTGGTAATCAAATATTTTGATCTAACTATGATGCTATAATTAGGTAAAACGTTTATTGCCATGGATTTAGAAAAAAAAATCAATTATTTACGACTTGGAAATAACCCATTAAGTATAAAACTACAAGTTTGAAAATTATCTAGATTTGTGGATCACAAATCTTATATTTAAGATGGCAACGTTACTTTCATTCAGATAACATTACAATTTAACCAATTAGGTTATAGTTTTTCTGTTGTTAGAAAAAACCCGTCTCGGGGCGAATAAGTTGCTTATTTTGTGATTTGTATTGGTTGTGATATGATTTGTAGTGATGATAATGAGGGCAACAATATATAATAACTATAGGGTGTTACGTTGATTAAAAAATTGGGCAACGGGTTCGCCATTTGGTACATTTTTTCAGATTTAGATGGTATATATGCTAAATAGCAATGTTTATTTAAATTTTTTTACCAAAAACCAACATACATTGTATATTGGTTGAACAATTCCGCACCCGCATAGCAGGGTGTCTCAGCTAGTTAAATATATATTCTTTAGATTAGTAAATAATTGTTTTTTAGATAACACAAGTACATCCGCTTTTACAAATTAAATATATGTTTAAGTATGAATATTTCCAAATGAGGTATGGTGCAAGAGTTAAACGAGGTTTTATAGGGTTGAAAAAATATGTTGCTGCAATCAAGCTTATGGCTTTGGGGGAGTCACCCGATTCTATTGATGATTATATGATAATGTCAGAGAGAATTGCACGAGAAAGTTTGTATAATTTGGATATAGATGTTATCGAAACCTTCGGTGACAAATACTTGCACAAACCTTAATTGAATGACATGCAACAACTATATGTGGCACATGAAAAACGACATGGTTTTCCAGGTATGCTTGGAAACATTGATTGCACAAAGTGGATATAGAGAAATTGTCTTGTGGTGTGGAAAGGTCAATACACAAGTGGTTATCTTGTATCGCTTTGGTTAGTATTAAGGGTTGTTGTGTCACAAGACTTATGGATTTGGCATGCTTCTTTCGGAGTTGCGGGTTCTAACAACGATGTAAACGTTCTTGATCAATCACCAATATTTTAGGACCTTTTGACAGGAAAGACATCGATGCTCATTTCATAGTAAATGGCCATGAGTATAAGTTCGGGTATTACCTCACGGATGGAATATATCCACCATATTCCATGTTTGTCAAGGCGTTTCGAC